CAGCAAAAAATAACTAATCTCGAAGAAAATATTCGTTCATCTGAACACTCTAAAGATCAACTTGATGAACAACAACGAGTGATTACCAGTCTTGAAGATAAACTTCGTTCGTCTGAAAATCAACTAGTAGAACAACAACAAAAGATATCAACTCTCGAAGAAAATATTCGTTCATCTCAAGATCAGTTAGCAGAACAACAGCAAAAGATTTCTATTCTTGAAGAGAGTCTTCAATCTTCTGAACAGTTAAAAGAACAACTAGCAGAAGCACGTGTTAAAATCAATGATTTAAAAAATATAATCAATGAAGGTATTATTAGTATGATATCATTAAATATTGTCTCCAACTCTCTTCTCTCTTTCTTTTTTATTAGATAGAAATAAATTGGAACAACTTGAATCTTCATATAACGAACTTCAACAAAAATATCTTGTGTTTGAGCAAATCAAATCTGAATATGATTTATTACAAGACAAATTCAATACATTAGATATTCAATTAAAAGAACAACAAGAAATAAACGATAAATTAAAACTCGAACGTGAAGAAAACATTCGTTTATTTGAATCAGAAATTGAACAACAAAAACAATTACTCAATGATAAAAATCAAAGTCAAGATGAACGTTGTTTATCATTATCAAAACAAATACAACAATTAACTGATTTACTTGATACAAAAATAAACGAAAATAAAGATTTAAATGATATAAAACTTCAATTAGAAAATGATCTGAAAGATGATAAACAAATGCTTTTCGAAACAACTAAACAAGCAGATGATCTTGATCGACAATTACAAAAAACAAATAATCAATATGAAGATTTAAAATCCAAATTTGAAAAACAACAATCAGAATATATACAGGTAACTAAACATTTTTTCTAATTCCAGCATTATTTTTTTGTTTTGGAAATAGATTAATGATAATTTAAGACAAGAATTACAAAATAATAAATTAAATTTCGATCAAATAATGAAAACAAATAACGATAAAATTCAAATTGAAAAGCAATTGCAACAAGTATGTCATATTTTTCAAATCTGAATTATGTAATCTACCCACCCTAAAATTCTATTTAGACAATTACAACTCTTCAAGAAGAATTAGAAACAACTAAAATTAATGTTCAAAACTATCAATCGAAATATGCTGAAGAAAAACAATTATCTGTTGAAAATGATCAAAATCAAATAATTAATCTTCAACAAGAAAATGAAAAGCTAAATAATACTATTAATGAATTAAATGAAAAAATCTCAAAACAAACAATTGAAACCGATGTAAGAATTATTAAATTGATTTTTGTTTCCAAATAATTAATTTTTCTAGGATCTCAAAGAAAAACAACAAAAACTAAAACTTTTATTAGCACGTCTGAAAAAAGAATTAAATGAAAAAAATCAACAACCAAAACAAAGTTTAATCGATCTTGAATTAGCTGATTATGAAAAAACAATAAAAACATTGAAAGATGATTTAACAAATAAAGATAAAGAAATTCAAATATTAAATGATGATTTAAAAAATACTAATGAAAAAATTGCTTCTTTTCAACAAGAAATTGAAAATTTCGAACAACAAAAACAACAAAATGATGAACGTACAAATAAATTACAAATCTTATTTGATACAACTAAAAATGAATTAGAAAATGCAAAACTTCTTGAACAAGAAAGATATCAAAATGATGATAATGTACGAATATTAATTGATAAATTACAAATTGATTTAGATAATCATAAAGTTATTGTTAGTCAATTACATTCGGAAAAACAACAATTAATTGGTAAGAATTATTTAAAATGAAATTTTTTGTTTGGGCTATTTTATATTTTAGAACGGTTAAATAGTCAAAATGAAACAACTCAACGAACTATTAATCTACTTGAACAAAATCTACGTATTGCAACACATGATTTAGATATTTCCAAACAGGATTAGTTAGTTTATTTTGATTTTTATCTATTCATTTATGCTTTTTTTTATAGTGATACTCTTCAAGATGATTTCAATAATTACAAAGTAAGATCGAATATACAAACTAATAAGCAATTAGAAAAGCAGATCTTATCTGTTTATGACGGACTAGAAATTTCTTTAACTAATCTGCGTCTATCTGTTTATGACAACATAGAAAGAAATAAGCATTTCCGATACTACTGTTTCATAAGTACATATCGATCACCTTTTAAATTGATAAACAAGGCACTAGAATAAATTGTTCTACTATATGTTAATATTTGTTTTATTTGCATTTCTTATGTATCATATGGTACTGATTAATCAATTTTTTGTTAAAGAATAAAGTCTGATTGAATTTAAAATTATGTCTTGACCTAGATTCGAGCACAGAGTGTACTCAAACAACAGCAATCTGTTCAACCTGCACGTGCTTCATCATCATCAGCCGATAAACAAACTGAATTAGAAGAAAAAATTGAAAAATTAAAAGCTACTCTTCAAGAAGCACAGTAAATTGAAAAAAAAATGAAATTATTTAATATTATTATAAATATGTATGTTTAGTGATAAAATACATTTATTAAGATCTGAAAATGAAGCATTACATAAAGAACAAGATCGTTTAACTGAAATGCAAACAAAATTAGTAAATGATTCAAGAAAACGTGAACAAGATCTTCGAAAACAAGTAGAAATAATCACTCTTTTTCATTCTCATCATATATATTATATTCCTAATAGCATGAAACAGAACTTGATAAAATGGAAAAAGAATGTTTGAAACGAACGAATGATAGTCATGATATGATGAAAGATGTCACAATTCAAAATGAAACACTGTCTTCAACATTTAAAGTAAATATTAATTAATTTTAATTTTCTTTTCTAATTTTTTTTTGTTATTTAAATTAAGGAACAAATAAGTGCAATAGAAGCTGATCATGAACGTTCAATAGCAATTCTACAAAATCAATTACAATCATCAAGACAAGAAATAGAACAATTAAAAAATCGTATTGATGTATTACGACAAAATAGTAATGAAAATGAAAAAGATATACCTCAAGCTGCAGTTATTAATGAATTCAGTAAAGATGACTTACCATGGACTAATGTAGAACGTCAACAAGGAGAGGTAATTAAATTATATCGTAATTAGTATTTTCAGTTGTTAATTAAACAGACTATTTATTATGTAAAATGCTTTGGACGAAAAGTGTAATAGTCGTTTGTCTTATCAATATTGACCTATATTTTATTTTTCATGAGTTGTTCAGTGCATTTTCCTTTTGTATTAAAACAAACAAACATGTCTTTTATTCAGTAATTATAGAATGTTTCTACTTCATTACTCATAGAAAAGCACTTAGTAAAACTTCATATAATAGCCATATCTTAATATTTTTGTTTACTAGGGATCTGAATCAGCAAGTACTGATAATCAATCGACAGATGTAGCTGTTAAAACTTTAGAAAATGTTTTATTTGGTAATAATACAAATGCTCGATCTTCACCATCGAATATAGATAAACCTCGTCATGTACTTTTCGAAGATGCGGAACTCGAACGACAACGTATTGAAGAAGAATTAAGTAAAACAAGATATCGTTTACTTAATACAACTGAACTTCTTAATGAATCCGAATTAAATAATGTACGTTTAAGTGAACAAGTTGCCTTACTTAAAGAAGAAATACGACGTATGGAACGAAATATCGATCGTACTGAATCAATATCAAATTTAGAATATCTTAAAAATATAATTTTAAAATTTTTTATATTAAAATCAACCTTTGAACGTTTACAATTAATACCCGTTCTTGTAACAATGCTTAAATTAAGTCCTGATGAGCAAGCTAAACTTGTTCGTGTTGCACAACAGACATCATCAATTGATGATTCATCATTGAATCCAAATGAACCTAATACACAACAAGTTACAAATAATAATTCAAATCCTTCTTCTTCTGCGTGGAGTTCTTATTTAAATATTTGGTGATTTATATTTCTTTTTATTTATATGTGATATAATTATTATTAAAAATAAAACAAAAAAAAAAGTAATATAAAAACGACGCATGTTTTTTTATTAGTCTTTACAATTAATTGTCGATTCACTCGTTTTTCTTTTTTTGTCTGTTGTTATTTTTGTCATTGTTATTATGAGGAAACAAAAAAAAAAGGAGATTCTTTCATCAATGCTTATAATTGCTTTTAGGCAAACTTAGTTATTTTTTTTTCCTCTTTCTATAAATATGAAGAACAAAAATGGCAAATGAATTTTTACTTATATATACATAAATATAGGTTAATGTATATATAATATACCACAGGGGTGATATTTTATATTTCTCACATTTGTTTTATATCGATAAAAGATCGTAATTAAGTTAAAACACATTTATTTTTGAAAAATATTTTACTTGTTATCATAAATTCATTGATAAACTTCAACAAAAATATCAATGACAAAAATTCTGTATGTTGAAGAATAATAACTAGAAAATAAAATAAATCTTTTGATAAAAATATCGATTACTATTAGTAAAATCTAAAGTATCATTGTACATTTAGTTATATATATATATATAAAGCTATGCGCATATATTCTTTTCCAAAACTACTACTCTGTCATGATTGTTCTACGATACTATACAATAAATCGTCGTCTCGAACCATACAACCGTCGACAACGATAGTCCGAAGCGTACTACGCATTCTCTATCATGCAAAACCTATGGAAAAATAGAAGAAGAAGAACCGAAAAAGAACCGAGAAAAAAAGAAAGAAAAAAAATGTAATGTAAGGTGGTTCGGTTCCTTCCTTCTTCATTTTCTTTCGCTCGTCCGTTTGTTCTTCTTTATAATATAGATGCTGACAATAGCAACAATGTTCATCAGCATCATCATCATCATCATCTTCTTCTTCTTCTTCTTTTAACAAGAAGAAATAGAACTAATATTCTAACATAAAGAAAAAAGATTTTTTTCTTCTATTATTTCTATTTTAATAAATACATATCAAATGAAATCTCAGTATGTCGAGTGAAATTTCTACTAATAAAATATTATTAACATCGAAAACAATTGATTCAAAATGGTTGGTTATATCAAATTTACCTCGTACAGCAACTGAAGAAACAATCAGAAAATATTTTCAACGGTTTATTAAATTTTATCGAAATAGCTTTTATTTTAAATTTCATTATTTAGATATGGCCGAGTACAATCAATTAGAATTGATGATCAACGTTTTGCTTTTATTAGATTTTTTGATCGACATGCAGCATTAAAAGCGCATAATTCAGATAATATTCTTGATAGACAACAATTAAGAACAGCTTTTCATGATGGTTCGAATTCAGTGCCTAAAATACTTCTACAAACATCGTCAATAGCTTCTTCAATTATTCAATCATCATCTCCTTCACATATGACAACAATAACAAAAACAATAATTCAGAATGATCGAGATAAATATACATTACATAATACATGTAGTCCAGAGGAAAATACTCGGTTAGTACTTTTCTTTTTTCATTCATATAATTTTACATAATATAAAATATTCATGTTGTTTTTTTTTTCTAAGTACATTTAATTCTATGTCATAGATAATCAACCCATATATTATATGTCAGACTAGAGATTTAAAGAAATATAAGATAAGAAAAAGATCTTCTTTTCGAATATTTTTCAATTTTCTAAAAGCCAATGATGGCCTTCAGATATGACAGTTAGTCTATTCGCTTAAAATGTCATCTTTATAAAATAAAATCCTTCTTTAGTAAACTCGGTAATTCTGAAATACGACCTATGTCCAATAGTTTCTTTTTTTTTCTTTCTATGCTGTACAACAGTAACACGTGTGTAAAGTACATGATTTATATGCCAATATGTCACACTTGCTATTGACATTCTATTGTGCGTAGAAGTCAAATATTAATCTTGAAACGTAAATTTGCATATATAAATGAATCAACTTACTTATCTGTCTAACAAAGAAAGAAAAAATCAAAATAATAATAAATTCTACTGCGTGTTTTTCTTTTCTAGATATCAAGTTGTACCTATAAAAGATGATGTTGATTTTTCTCAAAGTAAACGAAAAACATCATTAGACAATAATTCCAAGTACTATAAAGAAATCTATTTATTTAATTGAATTAATCTTATTTCTTAGACCAATAACAATGAAATCTTCTTCATCATCCGAATCTGAAAGATCTCATCATCATAAGTATATATATATTTTTATAAAAAAACCATTTTCTTTTTAAGATCAATTTATATTTCTAGTTTATCTTCGAAATATCCTACATCGAATTTAAAAAAATTCAAAACAAAAATATTAAAGATTTATCATTTACCATCCAAATTATCATGTATATTTTTATTTGAAATATAAACATAAAATATTTATAATTTTGCGTTTTTTTAGCTCAAATTTTACGTGAAAAACTTCGAAATATATTTTTGGATTTTAAAAAATCTTCACATTTATTAACTATAAAAATTATTGATGATTATGCTTTATTAACATTTCAAAAATATGAAGATGTTGATAAAGCATTATTATTTATAATAACAAAATCTATGAATGGTGTCAGATTAAAAGCTGAACCATATAATAATTTCATAACTGGTAAAACTTTTTTTTTTATTTAGAAAATAATTTAATAAAAAACCTTCAATCTATTCAGATATAGATGAATATTCAATAAAAGCCACACGAACTTTATATATAGGAAATCTTCAATCTGAAATATCTCATAATGAATTACGTGAATTATATTCCGAATATGGAGATATTATTGTAAGTATAGAAATAATATTTTCAACAAAAAACATTTACCTTCTGTTAGGATATTGAAATAAAACGACAACAATCATCCAATTCACAAATCTTTGCTTTTATTCAATATACAGATATCAAAAGTGTAGTTAAAGCAATGGAATCAAAGATTATTCGTGATCATTCAATTAAGGTATTAAAGCATTTGATTAATTAATTATTTTGATGTTGATACATTTTGTATAGGAAATGAAAGCATCTGTTTAAGGGAAATATTTTTTCTTTAGACATACGCGTTAAATTTCCACTTCCGATTCGATAAATTAAATAAGCTATTGAGAAAAAAACAACGCCGGAATGGAATTTCCGTCTGGAGTTTAATTATAAAAATTATATCATAATATCTCTACATGTTTAAATTATTCTACACTATCTCATCATCTTAGATATAATATAGCATCATAAATGAAGATTATTAATAAGTAGTTGTATTTTAATTAATGAATTCACTGAGCTATATTTCACACGGAAATCTTCCTTAATAATTTCAATGCAAAAAGAAGGTCAAAATTAATAATGTCGGTTTCTTTTTCTCTAACAAAAACAATCAATTAGTATTTGTTATTAATATCTTTATACTAACAAATGTTATATAATAAAGAACTATAGTTCATTTTAAAAGAAGAAGACGTATATAATTAGAGAAGAAAAGAAAAAAACAATTATAATCTTTATATAAAAGGGTACGACATATATAGATTCAGGTGTTTGTATATAAGCTGTTAGAATCACGTCATACATTACATCAGAAATAAACTTACTGAGGAATAATAAAGCGGAAAATAATTAATGATAGCAAATTTAATCACGAAACAAACTGAATTGCTCACCTGTAAAATTAAATATGAGTACTTAACCTTTACAGTATTGAAAATAAATTTTACTTTTAGTTAGGTTTTGGTAAAAGTCAACCAACGAATGTTTTATGGCTTGGTAATTTACCTTCGAATATAACTGAATCAGATTTACGTTTATTTTTAAATCGTATAACAAATTTATCATCGAATGAAATTCTTGATATTTATATTGATAATCGAAATTGTCCGAAAAATCAAATTATTCAATGTTTAGTTTATTTTATTGATATAATTACAGCACAAAATTCAATTAATTTAATTCGTGGAAAAAAAATTCAATCGAAACGTATACAAGTTGATTTTGCAAGTAAAATACTTGTCACAACATTTTCTGATATTATCGAAGAAACAAATAACAAGAAAAAGTATGTTATATATATATATATTAATTTATTGTTCATGCAATTATTTGAATAATAGTAATGACCGAAGGACAAGCCGATCGCATCAATCTGATCGTCATTCGAAAGCATCAGATATTGGATCATCACTAAATCGTATGTATATCTGATATAGTAATATGATTTAGAGTAGAGCACTAATTTTTGCATGTTAGCTTAATGATGGACATCACGTCTTGTTGAGATTATTTTCTAATCTATAATCTGACTGAAATAAAGCTTAATATGATATTCTCTTTTAAATTGACTTGGTTTTTTGTTTAGTATCAAATATAATATCACCTAGTGTAAATCAATCTCGTCATTATTCGTCTTCATCATTAGAACATGATTCAATTAATCAGAAGAAACTAATCAAATCTGATTCTGATAAAGATGCAAATCATGAACGTATTTTTGATTGGCTTATGCAAAATCAACATTTAAATATAAATGATAACGATCAAGAAAAATCTATTGATAAATGTTCAATAGAAACTAAAAAAGAAATACATTCAAAAGATGAAATTTTTAATAATAATAATGATATAAATTCTCACGATTTACCTAAAAACAATTTTCAACCAAAAATTATTCCACTTGAATCAAATCCATTATTTATTCAATTAGATATACGTTTAAAAGTTTATACATCTTTATCTAATCAATCAATTACTTCATTATATCTACCATTTCCACAATTTGCTAGAGCGTTAATGAAATCATCTAATATTCCAATTATTCTTAATCCAAAAGCACATACAAAACATCTATCAAATATAAATAAAACTAATGAAGATTTATTAATACAAAATCAATTTGATGAAAGATTAAAATTATTAGATAAACAAATATATGAAAATAATCGAAAAATATTAATAACAAATACAACTTTAAATACTCAACAAACTTCACCATCATATTCATCTGAATCATCTTTAACTATTATATCGTCAAAAAAATATAATCCAATGTAAGATTTTTCTTGATTAAATTATCGAATGATTTATACAAAAAAAAGAAAATCATTGCCAATACTAAATAATGATCTTGAGGAGTTACAGATATTAAACGAGTTCTTTGCGTATGTAAATAATACGACCAGATGTGAACATTATATAGGCCATCTGGCATATATTTCACCTACAGTCATTATTTTTTATTAAATGAAAACCTTGAGAAGAACAAATATAAACTGAAACTTTAATTCATATTTATTGACAAATGATTATTTTCTTTCTATAATTAGAAACTTGAATGGCGTATAAAAAAATATGTCATAAACATTTGTTCTATATTCTGAGTTAAAAAGAATTAATAAAATTATTTTTTAGTATCAGTTTGCATAAGAGAAGGATATGTAATGAGATTTTCTAACGATCCTATGGACTTATTTTTCTATAAATAATAATTTAAAAACTCTTTGAAGGCCATCGACTTCTACACTACTACAATCGATACCATCGTCATTAATCTCACCACCATTATCATCATCTACAAATCGATTAAGTCCACCTTTATCAAATGAGAAATCATCAACAAAACTTCTCGAACGACTTGGTCCATTAGCAAAATTTAAACATAAATCAATTCCACCACCATTATCTGTTATAACTACTTTTCCAGTAGCATCAAGTACGAGTAATTCACCTATGTTTCCTACTCCTAATAGTATCGTAGGACATCAGATTCATTCTCCAACACCAACACCTTTAAAATCAATATTAAAACAACCATCGAAATCATTAGATTCAACAGTCAAACAAAATACATCATCAGATGATAAGAAAAAATCAATAAATCAACAACAAACTAACGAGAAGAAACCACTCAATCAATCGATAAGCTTAAATAATACTACTAAAGCATCTTTAGGAAAAATACCGAAAAAAGCTAATGCAAAATCCATTGAAACTGTTGTACAATCTCCAAAATTAATTAAAGAAACACCAAGATTACCAATTGATAATTCTCAAACAATAATAAAAAATGTTCGTTCTACATCTTTACCATTGATTAATCATTCAAATAAAATTCAAAAAATGAATATTGCTGAAGCCAACAAAAGATCATCATTAACAATACAACAAAAGAAACCTTTACTCACAACAAAACAAGTTTCAACAAATAAATCTTTATTAACGAAAATCGATCAAAAATTAATAACAAAATCAAATCATAATAATATAATTAAGAAAAAATCTGGAAATAAAATATTCAAATTAAAACAAAATACATGTATGTACGATCGAATTAAAAAACGAGCAAGAAATGAACAAATTCAACATAGGTATATTTTATCTAAAGAAATATTTACAAAAAATATTCTAAACATTTTTATATATAGTTTACTACCAAAAAAAGATAAGTCTGCATCTGACGAACATAATGATGATATTATTCAAGCAAAAAATACCGTATGATTATAATTACATGTAATTAATGAAATATATTTTTGTTTATCTTTATTTAGAATAAAATTATTGATTCATCTGATTCTAAAAAAGATTTATTAATGAAAACGACAAATAAACAAACAATTGTTTTTGATAGTAATATATTTGATACAGAAGAAAATGAAGACAAGAAGACAAATAAGATTATTAATCGTCAAACAATAAAAATGTCGAAATCTAATAATGAAAAATTAAGGTCTATAAATAAATCGACAAATCCTCGGAAACATTCATTAACACATGAATCAAATGAATCTTCGAAGAAAATAAAATTAGAGCCAATAACTATCTCATCTATTAATGAAGAACAAATGAATAAAACTGAAAATTTAACAAACGATACAATCTCAAATAAAATTAATACAACTTCTGAATCAGTAGATTTAACAAAAGATTTAACATTGAATATTGACATCATACAACCAAGTAATTTTCTATTTGTAATAGAGATTTTTTATGATTTTTCTTAGCTTTAGATGCCGAACCTATCAGTGATATTGTAGTATCTACTACGAATACAATTTCACAAGATATTTTTAATAAAGAAGAAATTTCAAATGTAGCATCATCTCAGATTCCAGCAGATGAATCAACATCACATTCTGTTGGTACTTCTTCAAATAAAGATTCTCAAGAACCAATTACGTACAATGAACCATCGATATCAACATCTCTGAGTATGTTTATAGATATATGTACGAAATCCATTCTTCGAATCTTTTCTTCTAGACGAAACTATCGAAACATCATCTAATGTAAATAATCAAGTTATCGTTACAGATCAATCAATACCAGTTAGTTTATCTCCTAATACAAAACTACCGCCACCACCATCATCAACGTTAAATGAAACATTGAGTCAATTTGATATTTATTCATTACCTAATCCTATACATTCATCAACATCAATCGATCTATTTCCACAAATGCCTACACCAGATAGTAATTTATTTACTTCTTCACATCAACATTTTCCATATCCTTTATTTATACCATCACCTTTATCGAGTAAATTTAATTTTTCTTTAATGAAAAAAAATCATATTTATAGATGATTTTGTTTCAGATTCACCATTATTATCTACTAGAAGATTATCATCAAATAGTTGTAATAGTGTTATCGAAAATCCTTTATTTAATAAAATTCTATCTGAACAACAACATTGTTATGACAAAGAGCTTAAAAGGTAAAAATAATTCCATCCGTAGCGATAATCACAGTCAACAGTATTAAAATACTTTTTTATCCTTTTAGTGATTCTATTAGAAGATTATCAACTATTTCACCATTACCACCAAACCATTCAACACTTAATAATATTATTAATCAACATCAATATCTCGGATCAGGTATATATATATTATTCTTTTAAAAATATGTAATTTATATAATTATATTTAGATTCTATTGTTTCATATCGAAACTCATCTGAATTCTATAATTATACAGGAACTACTCAACAAATGTTGAATTCATTCTATCATGTCAATGATATTCAATCTTTTGATCTGTATGATATACAATGGGAAGGATATGTCATATTAAAAACTGATCAAGCTTATATAAAAACTCAACTTATAGTTGGTAATCCTCAAATAGCACGTATTTCAATAAATTATTGGAATTCAGATTTAAATCATAATTTACGTATATCACAACGTATGCGTTTAGAAGAAATTCAACTTGATGGTGTACAAAAACATATGCAAATGGATAATGATTATTGTATATTAATTGCTGAACCAAATGGTTTAACACCAGAAGAAATACGTTTAGAACAGAATCATTTAAAAAATGGTGTTATTCAATATTTAAATGAAAAACAAGCAGCTGGAATTATTAATATTATATTACCTGGTGTATTACAACCTGTTTATGTTGTTCATATATTTCCACCATGTCAATTTGCATCTGAAATTTTACAAAAACGTGCACCTGATGCTTATCGATGTGTTGTTCAAAATAGAATTGAACAAATTTATTTAGTATTCATTATAACAACTACAGCTCAATAGATTTTTCTTATTTATCAATTGAAACATATCGGTAGAATTATTCATATGTTAGAGACGAAAACGAAAAAAAAAGATTATACTGTTGTTTTTTTTATTATTATTATTAAATAGTCATTCTACTATGTATGTGATTTAAATTACGTAAACAGTGTTTATTCTATATACTACTGTTGTTTATATTTATTTTTAAAATTTATTTTATATTAGTAAAAAAAATCAAGAATATTATAAAAAAGAAAAATACTTTGTTAATTTATTGTTCTTATTTCTGATGTATTCACTGGTCTACAAAATATCGTACAAACTAAACATGACAATAGTGTTAGCACTGATGAAACAAGCTACATAGTATCAATAAATGAGAGTGAAAGTGTTCGTATGAGTGTACAACCGTTCTGAATCATCACCTAGTCTTCAGATATGACTCATGAGATTTAATCCCGGCGTTGCTGTCTACAATGCTCGATCGAACAGATATTTTATTATCTAATACCTGATTTTAATATAAATTAGTTTATAATAGAGAAATGTCGACTTTTTGACGCAGAAAAACAATCTTTTTAATATATTTTATTAGCAAAACAGTCGATCGATTTAGATTTTCTATATAATTGAATCAATCGAACGATCAAATTAATCTGAACATATATTTACTCGATGTTTTTTACGACATTATTACATCCTTTGCCGCGTTATACTGATGTTTTATGATTGCAACCAACGAACGTTTAAATTGGTTACAATGTTGCCTTTTCGAACGGAAGCAATTAATTATCTTGAAGATTTCTTTCTTTTTTCTTATTATAAGCAAAAATACTTATGAATTTGATGATATTTTGTTTTTTTTCTGTATAGAAATAATAGAAACAATATGAATTGATTGTTAATAAGAAAATTATTTTACTCGAATACTTTTTTGTTTCTTCTTCTTATCTTCCAATCGTTTCTATCCAATTTGATATAACAAATATGGTCTCGTCGATGTCAACCAGTCTTCCATTGACAAAGATTAACGCATATCTAGATGATCATATAGTCTGTTTGTATAACATGAATCAATTACCATACTTTTCTTTCTTCTGATCGACCGCTATCAGTATTATCATTCTCTAAACATGTTATGTCGATGAACTAATCTTCTTCTTTTTCTTTTTCTTCTTCTTCTCATCATGATACTCATGAGTATCAATTCTAATTTAGAAAATAAAGGTAATCATCATTTTTAGTATAACTTAGATTTTTTTGTTGCATCTTACATATCTTCATATAATAAAAGAGAAAAAAGAGTAAGTAATAGTTACTTGATAATATTGAAAAGAAATAAATGATGCTAATAGTGTCAGTCTATTGACATTTAAAACTAAAGATGATTTAAGAGCATTTGTCTAATATATTCTGTTATTAGCAACTGCATAAGATAATATTAGAAAATGAAACTTACACACATTTCTAAACGCTATCCTTGACAATAATGTAAAGGCATAAAGTACTATTCGAGACAACACTAGTAGATAATAATAATACTAACAAACTATTATGTATGATTATTTCTATAGGATTACCTTGAATATGATATATTTTGTTAATTATAGATGTATTAGACACTCATAATCAAAGAAATTTTAATGACTGATACTATATTTGATAATAATAGTAATTCCGATGTTGATACAAATCAATCACCTATAGTTGATTCAATATTTTCTAATAACGAAGAAGAACGACAAACAAGAAACAAATCAACTGTTCAAAATTCAATAATTAATGAACCAAATGTTATTAAACGTAATAAAACAGTTAATAATATAAGTCGATTAAGTTTCAATGAATCTGAGCATATTGATCATGAAACGAAATTATTCCGTCGATTAAGTAGTTATAGTGATCAATCTGATCAACAATGTAAAGGTATCTTTTAATCAACTTCTTAAAAATGGTAGAATTGTTTTTTTTGCTTAGCTTCACATGATCACAATGATTTTCATTTATCTGATTCTATGAATGACGATTTATGCTTAGAAAAAACAGGGTAAAACAAATATTGATATTTATCTTTATATTTTATTTCTTATTTCTAGATGGCTTAATATTAAACATTGGTTAACTATTCAAAATCATGAAAATATTCAATTAAAATTAAAACCACATTGGAAACGTTTTTGGATTTGGTTAAAAGATTCACATATTCATTTATATAAAAATTATTCCGATATAAAACCTAATTTTATGATAAGTAAATAAATTATAATGCAAATTAATTGATAAATACTAAGATATTCTAAAAATTAGAATTTTATTTCTAGATACAATTGATTGTCTTTGTTATCCATCACCTGAATATCGACATCGACAAAATGTATTTAGTTTAACGACAAATACTGGTGATGTGTATTATTTTCAGGTTAATTTCTTACAAAAATAAATGAATTTTCTTATTTTTATATTTATTCATTATTTAGTCATCAAATCAATCTGAAGTAGATCATTGGATATATTGTATACATTTAAATGGTTTATCAAAAATAAATATAAATTTATTAAAATTAAATTTGAAACAATTAGAAAATGATATTATTGATGAAAATCGAATGCTTAAATTATCTCAATTAAAATTAAAATTATCAATTAATAAGCAAACATATTTATCTATATTAAAACAAATTGAAATAAAAGAAAAAAAATTAGAAATATTTCATATTGATTTATTTCGTAAGAAATGTTATTTATGTGCCTTAAATCAAAATCAAAATCAAAATTTACCAAATTCAACAGATTTACTTTTACAAATTTCAACAACAACAAAAATTATTTTAGATAATTTAAATGCTTTTACACCTTGTGGTTTTTATGCATATATCATTTCAAGACGAGTATTAGATTGTTCAAAATCTAAATCAAATGATAAAATAATATTTTCATCATTGACAGATGTGGATCAATCTATTGTACAAACGGTTTTATTCGATTCAAATCCTCAAAGGGTTTGTGCAAATGAATTTTGAATTTCTTACATTAGAATCTTAGATATCAATAAGATTAAAGATTTATTATCTTAAAAATACTGATATCAAATTGTTAGATCAATATTAAATGATATCGTAATAGAAAAAAAGAGTTAATCGATTGAATATGAATAACATGCATCTACAATATGATAAGATCGAGGTCATCAGAAAATAAATATAGTATTAGTATTATGAGATAACAGAAATAAATCAGTTAGAAAAAAATCGTTTCATGCTTATAATATCAGTAAAAAAAACCATTTGGAGTGCATTTGTAACAGCACTATTTTAAATGAATACTGACTTTCAAGAATTTATTTTGTATTAATAATAAAAATAAATAGTGTTGTATATTATAGATAATTTACATCCTTTCGATTTGAAATTTATTCAGAAAGAATGTTTGACAAAATATAGGAAGATACAAAGAAATTCAATTAAACTAAACAAGTTTGAGAGAAAAACATTATTGAATATGTATGAATATTACAACGGTTATCGTAAAATGCGTCCTTATTTAACGAACTTGAGTAAATTGTGAAAAAGATGTCCTAGAAGTTTATTAGTGTAGTCTTCCTAAAATATTGTCTAGTAGAAAAGCAAACAGCATAGTTAAATAAATAAACTCTTTTATAAAAAATATTTTTGTAACATAGGATAATCTCTAAAGGACAGTATGTAATTTAAAACCCATTTTTTTTAAATATATATATATATATGCTTGATAGACTATTCCTCTCATTTTATTATTTGTATTATAGAAAATTATTATATCAATCAATAAAATGACAACTGTAAATGAATTATTAAAACGTGTTACTGATAAATTAGATTTAGTAATGGATGACCATTTTCTTTATTGTCATTTAACATCAAATGATGGATTCAAACCAAATGGGCACGATATACTTCATAATTTAGTATGTTAGACTGTATATTTTTAAACTTATATATTTATTTTTATTTTAGACGTATACATCCATTGAATTACATCAAAAGGTTACCTATCAAATAATATTAAATAATCAACTTAATGCATCTGGAATTGATATTATCCAAGAATATCCCTTAACTATTTTTATAAAAAATGTCAGAAAAAGAAGTGAAGGCGCACGACTTGGTAAATGAATTAATTAGATTACTATTATTTAATAATTTATACTATTTAGGAATAATGAAAGGTGATGAAATTATTATGATAAATAATATAAATGTAAAAGATCTTGATTCTACAACATTTAATCGTTATTTAAATCAAATACCCATTACATTAACTTTTCGTTCATCAAGGTATGTTTGAAAAAAAACGACAAAGAAGAATTATTTTCTATTCTATTCTTAAAATTTTAAGATTAGATGAAATAATTCATACTTCTCATACAATTCAATCAAGAAAAATCACATCCTCAACTATTAAATATACAAAAGAAATTGATCAATTATCATCAGTATTTACAAAACCAAACAATGAATCTCAATCGAAAACAAACATATTTAATATAAATAATGAACAACAATCTCATAATATATTTCATTCAAATAATCAACAAATACAAAAAATTATCTTTGAATTAATTGAAACGGAAACATCTTATGTTCAAGTAAGTGAATAGTTTATAATCAATTTTAATTATTTTCTGATCACAATATTCTCTTCATATCTCAGATTATTTAGGCAGAATTCGATATAAAAGCAATGATATCATATAGTAGATTTTATGTAATGACTTCAGAATATGAGTTTATCTAATTAAAAAATCAAGATTTCAGATAATTATGTCTTGACTTTTAAATCTTAAACTATTTTTAATATTTATCTTTAGGATCTTCAATGTTTAATAGATCAATATATTGAACCCTTACGTAGTAATTCAACTATTTTACCATCAGATTCTGTTGAATCACTTTATAACAGTGTTAAAATAATTCATCAATTACAAACAAGATTTCTCGATTATCTTCAATCAAATTTATTAACTAAAGTATTTTATTAGATTTTACAAAAATTTAATTTTACAATTTATCTATTTTTATAGAATATTATCATATCAATAGCTGAAACATTTATTCGACTTTCGAATGATTTTAAACTTTATTCAACATATTGTATAATACATTTACAAATAAATCGTTTATTAAATCTTTATCAAAATAATGAACAGTTAAAAGATTTTTTAATTGCATGTAATCCATATCATCAACATTCATCATCATTTCAATCGTACTTAATAAAACCTGTTCAACGTATACTTAAATATCCATTATTTTTACAACAAATGTTTATCTATTGTACTACAGAAGAAAATGATCAAATATTATTAAAAGAAAAATCAAAATTAAAAAAAGCAATTAAAATAATGAATAAAATCAATGGATATATTAATTCTATGCAACAACTTTATGAAGATTTTGGTCAATCATTCGAAAATTTTGTTAAAAATTATCAAGAAAAACAAAATAAAGTAATTGATTAATTTACTAATTAATTATTAAAATTAATACTTTTGTTTTTATTAAGATATTTGAACTTAATCTATCTGATTTATATGCATACGGAGAAATTAAATGGATTAATATGTATCGATTTATTTCAAAAAAAAATTCTCAAAATCTAAAAATATTTTGTTTCATTTTTCAAAATGGCTGTCTTTTGTTAGTACGTGAACAGTTAAATAAAAAAAATCAGGTAATTGTTTAAGAAAAATTTATAGAAATTTAGTCTTGAGAGAGATACTTATCATTACTATAGAAATGTATATTTATAATCAATATTTTGAAAAGAAAGTATTCAATATTAACTCATATAAGTTTGTTTAAACAAATAAACATAATTCTATTCTAACTCAAATCCATCTATGTTTATTCTTTCATTCTATAGTTCAGATATAATATTTAATTGTTGCTTAATATAATTATTATATTCTTTCAGAGTTCATTATTCAATTCTCAATCAAATAACAATACATCTGATTGTTTTCTTCGATTTTTACCAATGGAACAACTTCAAGTTGAAGTAATCCATCTTACTGATAAATCTCATACTTATACATGGCAATTAATTCAAACAGATCCAACAACTCATTTTCAAACATATTTTCATTTTGCGAATAGGTAAATAGATAAACTTCTTATTGTCTAAAATCTATTAGTACATAATAATAATAATATTTAGAGATGCTGAAATATTTGTTAAAACAATCAATAATTGTATATCGCAAATTCAATGTGAAAATAATGAATACATTTGTATATCGAATATATGTGATTCTCTGGCTATATCTTTTGATGAAGAACATATCTTATCAAGTCGTTCGTGTCATAACTTGTTACCAATATCTTCATTGAGAAATGAATATTCAGAAAAAAATCGTTCTAGAACGAATCGACAAAGTCAATCACCTATATGGAAACGACGAACATTATCTTTACGAAAACGTCCATTCTCAATGACACATAACAAAGATATCATTTGATTGTAATAATTTTATCTTTAAATCTATTTATTTATTCTTTAGTTGCATTTTTTTCTGAATAATTTTTTAAACATAGTTTGATGACATAATTAAATATATTCAAATGAGTTATTAAAACAATAACAACAATTACTATGTTTAAGATATCGACTTTTCTTAGAGTTTTAATGTAGTATGTCATTATTACTTTGACTGCATGTTAAATGTTGAAAAAAGCATTATTTATGATTAAATATTCTCTTAGCCTTCTTATAATCGATCATTTATACATTTATATTTCATGTTATTTAGTTTTTCTAATAATCAAGCTCAAGAATATTTTTATTCATATAAAACTATACTAATTATTCGATACTGAATTAGTTTATTGATAAATATTAATACTTTTATAACAATGCACAAAAAAGAAAAAAAAA